AAGGCAGATTTAATTATGGCAAGGACAGAGGATTTAACTTTAAAGGAATAGATTTAATCTAAATGTTAGTCCATGAAACATGGTGTTCAAAGATGGGTAGATCATATTTTCATATTAAGTTTCAGTCAAACTTGAGGTAAAGTATGCTGTACTAGTGTTTCATTTTGTTAGTTACGTATATGTTATTTATTAATGAGTATGTAGCCATTAAGTATCAGTAAGTGTTATTGACTTATTTTGGTGAAAACTGACTAATGGAAATGAGTGAAGACACTGAGTGCCATTAAGCATCAGTTAAGTTTTTCTAGGTATTAAGCTATCAAAGATAGGCCAGTAAGTCTCATGATTTTTCCTCAGATGCCGTGAAACCTCAGTGACAAAAAAAAATCTACAAATAGATGAGAAATGGGTATTTTTTCACATAGACACATGATTGAGGCTTTTAATTTGGGACACTGGTGGTTCAGAAACATTCTGCCTACATAGTGGCACGCACAGTAAGAACGATTTGAAAATTTGTCTAAGGGGGAAGGTTTTGCCAGTTGCACTGCTATAATTCTTCCAGGGTCCTTCTCCACATTCACTCTGTCTGGAAGTCCTGTCTGCAGCATGCTGTCTTCAGGGCATTCAAGGACTGCCAGAACATATTACAGGTTTTAATACTTGGAGGCTCTGGTCCTGAAGTCTCAAGGATTGAGGACGTCCAAGAGACTTGTACCCATGATGGAAAGGCCACTATCTATCCCTTATAGCCCCAGGCAACAAGTGCTGTGTGGATGGTTTTGCTCTCAACCCCAGGACTGGAATTCAGGACCATAATGAAAGCTGTTCGTACACTAGGAATTCTTGTATCACTGTTGTACCGTGTACAGTTCTGGCCTCCATAATTCACAAATTTAATAGTGATGGTAGATAACTACTGGAGCAACTTAACAAGGGTTGTGATGGATTCTGAAATTTGAATGAGGACTGGATTTTTGGTTGTAGCTGTGTTGGTCTAAGGATATAGGCAGGCAAGGTTCTTTGAGTAGATGTGATTCTTTTATTAAACCAACTGAGTTGTTGGGGGGGTAAAAGTTCTTAGCAAGCTTTTGGTCGTAATTGCCCTTCTTCAGCCCTAGGAAGTCTCTGCTGTTCTGTGACTCCAAGGAATGAGAAAAGCTAGAAGTGTGACTGGATGCCACCCTTACTCACCTTTGCCTTTTTTCCCCTTGCTGTTTTCCCCCCCTCCGTGCTTTACCTTTTTGTTTTCCTAATTTCTACCTATTTACATTCTCACTGGCATCCTGTCCTCATCTCATTCCTTGGAGTCTCAGACTAGCAGAAACTCCCTATGCCTGAATAAAGGTGATTATGCTCGAAAGCTTGCTAAGACCTTTTTCCCAACTACTCAGTTGGTCTGATAAAAGATATCGCATCTCCTTGAAGAACCTTGCCTGCCAGTGAGGATTGGGTGATTTGTTTTGTTTTTAGAATGTGTTTCTAGAGTTCGGTTACAGCTATTGGATTTGAACCACATCTTGATTCAGGGGAGTTCTATAGCCCTTAGTTCAGGCTATGATAGGTGAGTCAGACGATTCAAATAAATAGATTGATGTGCAAGTGTGTGTATTTATACGCATGTGTGACAACGCTGGCATTATGGCCTTGTTGTCTCTCCTGTTGTCCTCTCTGGGAAGAACTGTTCCCAGCTGAGGCAGTCACCCACCATGACTTTATGGAAGAAGTCTATAGAATTCTGCCTCAGCAGGAGATGATGGCTCACCCAGTTGGGGCAGTCCCTTGGGAGACTCACTGCATTCCTGAATGCCATTTGGCAAGACCTTTATGGGGTCCAGATTGGGAGCTCCTACACTCCTGCCACAATCCTCTGCACGGTTCTTTGGTCACACCAGACCTGGGCTCCAGTCGATGCGTTGATCGTACTCTGACTGTCATGCCAGCCTTGGAGTGTATAACAGTATTTCCCTGAACTCGTACCTGGAATTCCCAACAGTCTGTCTAGTATGAAAATAAAGAAATGTGGGCAGTCTGGCTGTCTCTCACCCCCTTCTGGCATGTGCACTTTAGTCTGTTGTCCGAGAGCTCCTCCTGTCATTTCTGGCGTCCTTTTACCTCTGCCCCAAGGTGCATCCAGCCAGTCAAAGCCAGGACTCGCTTCCCATCTGTGGCTCATGTTGCCTGTGGGAAGAGGGCCTACCTGCAGTCAGTCAGGGCTGGGGCTCCTCGCTTTCAGAGCCCCGGGCTCCGCAGGGCTCAGCATGCAGGCTGAGACAGGCCCTGGCTGGGAGTGTCTCCCCAGCAGCTGGAGTTTCCCAGCTGGCACTTCTGGCATGCATCTCCCATGGTGCAATATTTAATACTCCAGCCACATCATCCCAAGTCAGTGTGGCTTTACGCCGTCCCACAGGTAAGGGAGAGGAAATGAGCAGGGGTTTTTCTTTCCTTAATTCCCTTGCCCTGCTTCAGCATATATATATAAGACTTGTCAAGCTAATTGGCCAAAATACCAACTAGTATGATTTACTTTTACAAAGAGCTTTTTCCTTTTGCGTGTCCTGTACCCCAAATTCTCCGGTGGTTGTCCTCCCCTGGATCTCTGGACCATGGTATTCCACTTCTCCTGATAGGGAAGAGAAAAGTTGAATGCAGTTGGTAGAAATGTGGAGGTTTTGGCGTCTCTTAAAATTAGGTTGACAGACTATCAAACATACATGTCATAATATTAATATAATTGTGTATGGTGGGGTGGGGTGGGGATGGGGAAGTGCCTTTTGAAAAGAAAGAAAGCTGCCTATTGCTTTGATAAACAGGTCAGATGTTAGTAAATTCATTTATCTATTTTTACAAATGCTTAAGAAAAAGTCATGTGTTGGTTTATGTGTTTTCACACTTCACATCTGTGCTTCATTGAAATATTCTGCTCCCCTGTTTGAAATGATATTTGTGATTGGTGAATTTATTTGGCAATAAAACCTTCTATTTTCATCAGTAACTTTATCACAGACACCTCTAGTGGGGGAAAGGAAGGGAACCACACTTCAACAAAGTAACAATTCAGAGTCATTGGAGTTACCAAGAAGAAACTAAAAATATCTTCTAACTGAGCAAATCTTCTGCCTCGCATCCAGAACAGTCTAGTACCAGTTGTTGCAGATAATGAAATGACAATATGGTATATGAGGTGGAGTGGCTCATTCTTTAGTCATGCAAGGAAGTAAAAATGCAGTGGGTTTCAGTTGAACAAAAGTATTGTGATCTCAGATGAGCTAGCTTCATGAAACAGGGAATGAGAAACATATAGATCTGCCTTTGATAGACCATCTATATCAACCCACTGTGAGCTGGTAGATTGTGCTTTTTGCATGATACAGTTAAGAAATTAGTGAAGGGTTTACCAATAACCACCCAAAAATGACAAACTTGCTGTCAGGAAATCACAGTGTTACTAGTAGCGCAGCTCTTGAGACCTGCTTTTGAGCCTGTAGCAGATTGTTCTGTTTCCATCTACTTATTCAGTCTGCTGTCATAGCAGCCAAAACATCAGTAAGGCAGATGAGTAAATTGTGCCTTATGGGGACTCTTATGAGGCGTTTCCCCCATCTGAGTTCCATTGGTTGGCACATCCTATATAGCAATGTTTAGTGTTCATCTCAAACTTCCATTAGGGGCAAGTAAACTTCATTATATTGAAGGGGTGCTCAAGCTGTGGCCCATGGGCCAGGTCTGGGCCATGGAGCCCTTGCATCTGGCCACACACAGAGTAGGAAATTTGGCAGTAGAAGAGCAGTGGTTATTAATACCCCCTCCCCAACTTCCAAACACCAAGCCCCATACTGGTGGTTGCAGTTGGGCCATAACTCTTGCCCTGCATTTTGATCTAGACTGAACCCGACCCCCCCAAACCCTGGCTTGGACAGGTTGGGGCCAAGCTGTACTCCCCTTTTTCCCCCTATAGAGCCAGGCCACACCCCCTTTTTCCTTGTGGACTGGGGCTGGGCTATGCTTCTTCCTTCTGGGGCCAAGCCATGTCCTCTTTTCCCTGTGGGATCAAGTTGCAGCTGAGTTGCCCTGCGCCCCCCTCTCCATGGCTGGTTGGTGCCTATCGTGTCTGCCGTGGTGCTGGATTGGGACCATTAGTGAAATCCAGCCTGTGGATGAATGGGACACTGCCCATCCAGGCTGCTGGGGAAAAAGTTTGAGCACCACTGCTATGCTGGTATTATATGCTATGTGCATAAACATGTTGGGTGCGTCCAGACGAGCGCGGCCGTGCAGTATGTGGTGCTGCAAACACGTTTGTGGTGCCACCCACCACTCAGTCAGGTGTTCTCTGTGCTGCTCCGGTTTGTTTTATTTTTTTCCATGGTTTGTTTTTGTTTGTTTGTTTTGGTTTGGTTTTTTTTGACTTCTGGATTCAGGGGTAAAAAAAAACAAACAAAAAAAGAGCAGTGCACACTCAGGCGGAGTGTGCTGCTGAAAAGCTGAGCTGAGCCAAGCCACCCAGAGCTGTGGCTGCTGGCCAAGTTCCACCCTGCAGGATGGCTGTAGTTCCAGCCCTGGGAGGTCCCCGGGTAAGGCTGCTGGGGCCAGCACAGTGCTGGCCCCAGCCTTCCCTACTGCCCCTGGGGTAACTTGCTGCACACCAAAGCATGCATGGCACAGGCATTCCCTGGGGACAAGTAACAGTTGCGCAAGGTGTACCACTGCTAGTTATCCCCAGGGATCCGTCTGGACGTGCCTGTTCTGGTATAAGAGGGATATTCTTTGTTGTTCAGTTTATGCTGTTTTTAGAAAGAGTTTAAGTCAACCCAAAAAAGCTACTTTCTCTAGGTTTTGTTGGGGTATTAAACAGTAGTAGCTAAAATTCAAACTTTATGTATCATAACTTCACTGTTTTGACAAGCTCTAAGGACCTGGGCAAGGGCTTATTCCATAGTCTGAAAACAATGTAATTTAGTGTAACTTGCTTCTAATATCTTATCCTTTTTATCTTGCAGGCAGGCAGAAGTCCTGAAGGCTGACATGACAGGTAATTTGTTTTTATTTTATAGTTAGTACAGTGAATAAAATTTTAGCCCCATTTTTCTTCATGCTCTTCATGAAATGTTTTTCAGTTTTAGTATACAAATGTTGTCATGATAAATGTTTGTCCTGCAGATATGGATAAACAGAGCTTTGTTGCAATTAGCTATGCTTTCTGCCAGAATCAGACTTCACAAGTAATACACAAAACACTTGGGACAAAAGAGCAGGACTTTTCTTTTCTCTTTTCCCAGCAGGTGGTCTGAATTCAGTCTTGTCTTCCTGTTGGAAGAAGGGATTATGTCTGTGTACATATACATCCAGGATTATTGGTTGATCAGATAATTACTTTCAAAGAAATAACTCATATTCTCAATAAAAAGATGTAAAAGTCCCTTTCCAGTTTCTAGCAACTTAGTTGAAAAAGTTGATCTAAACACTGTCTGGTAAGTGCGCAAAAGGCAGTCTGTCAATGTCACAGTTTGCCTTTAATACTACCTTCTGGCTGCTGCAGGATCTGAGTAGCATGTTTATTATTATTGAAGTCATATAAGGTAATTTGATTTTATTTGCTATATTCACTTATTATGCAGCTTTCAGATTTCTAGTGGCTTGTTACAACAGGACAAGCCAAAGCCTGCACATTTTTCTCTAGTTCACTGGTGGTCCGTGTATTTTGACAGTGGAGAAAATAAATTTAAATGATTCTCTTCTGTGTACTTGGCCATAGTATATCTTTTTGTTCTTGTTTTTCTTTCTTTGTTATAGATTCGAAGCTGGGTCCAGCTGAAGTCTGGACATCCCGGCAAGCTTTGCAGGACTTATACCAGAAAATGCTAGTAACTGATCTGGAATATGCGTTGGATAAGAAAGTAGAACAAGACCTGTAAGTGTTTTAATAAAGGCACATACATTTGGGTAGAGAAGCAGGGAAGCTTCCAATATTTATGAAAGAATGGGTGTAATATGTTAAAAAGGCTCTCATTTTCTTCAAAAGTGGAAGCTTGACTTAAATATTTCTTAAATAATCATATACTAATCTTAAAGGAATAAAAAGAATGTAGGGGAATGGGCTGTGAAATAGTGTTTATACTTAGTGCTCTGGGGGAAACTATATGCTATGGGTAAGTACTTGGATGAAGGGTAAAAAGGTTTGTAAATAAGCTTGTGTGCTTCAATGAGTATCTGCAGTATGCATTCATGGCCTCAAAATGTGCATTTCATGTATGAAACTGATTAATTTTGGAGAAAGTGTTCACTTGTT